GCGGTCTAGCGCGCTGTTCCTGTACTTCTAGGAGACAGGTTCCGTTGGTCGAGAGTTCAACCACGGGTTGGGGCGGAAGTGGGTATCCTTATAAAAAAGTGAATTTCTTTGTGCTTTCTATATATATATATATATATATATATATATATATATATATATATATATATATATATATATATATATGTCGAGTTGAAGGCCACAGCAAGTATTTCTTCTTTTCACGTAAAAGATTTTGAACAAATTCTGCTTCATATGAATACAAAAATAGGTCTGCTAATAACGGGGCGTAATTGGTACCCATGGAAATTCCAATAGATTGTTGGAAGACCTGGTCTCCAAACACCACATAGATATTGTCAATCAGAAACTCGAGCATCTTTTTAATGTCAACTTCAAAGTTCTTGTGTGTACAATCAGAGTGCTTTTTAACAAAATAATTTTTGTAAATGACCAATGACAAGGTAAGTCAATTTAGGAGTTCCATTTTTATTGAAAAACCAGCTGTCAACTATGTCAGAAAGTCTGGACTTTATCGTGGGGAATAGATGTATATAAAGTTGAAAAGTCGTAAGTTTATAAGTTGTTGATTTTGGTAAAATTTTGTGATTTCAAATGTTCCATAAGTTCCTTGAAATTTTTTAGTATCCACATCTGATTTACATCGAATATATTGTTGCACAGTACTCTTGAAGTTTCTCCTTCACTACTGTTAATATCTAAGTGAGGAGTAAAGAAAGAGGCTTGGTACAACATTTACTGGAACACGCTATGTATCTTTGTTTGGATTTTTATGAAGCTTCGGAATTTAATATAGATATGGTAATTCAAATTCATTTTGATTGTTGGGAATATTAAAAATATTCAAAACGGACATATGATTTTGAAGAATTTCCTCCTTAGAAAGGGACTGTTCACGGTAGCTCAGTCGGTAGAGCGCTCGCTCCATGGTCGGGAGGTCGTGAGTTGGAATCTCGGCTGCGACTAAACTAAGTCGATAAAAAATGGGTAGCAACTGTTCCTTCGCCATGTGCTCGGCACTTTGAAGTGAAAGTTGCGGGTCCTTCCGATGAGACCTTAAAAACCGAGGCCTCGTGTCACGGCAGGCGTTGGCACGATAAAGATCACTGCTCAATGGCCTTGAGTGCCGAGTAAAGGTCAAAATTTGAAGCCCTTCACCGGTATATGGTGACGTCTCTATATGAGTGAAAAATTCTCGAATGGGACGTAAAACAACATACAATCAATCAATCAATCAATCCTTAGAAAGGGAGCTATGGGTATAAGTTGGATTACCACTTGTAGAATTAAATCCCAGTTCCTCTACAATACAATTTATATAAAGAGCCTTACAAACAAAGACAATGTTGTTACCTGCTTTGTCAGCAGGGACCAGTAGTACTGATCTTGTAATCTATTTAATTCTTTTTTTCACTTCTGAATTATTGAATACAGAAGGATAGATGGTTTTCATACTGCCCCTCAGTCGCTTAATGCGAGATTTTAACATACCTCTGATACATTTATTCCATTCTAACAAAGTGTCAAGGTCTTCTTTTTCATGTCTAACCCCAAAGTCTGGCGTAATCCTCTAGGGAATCCATAATATGTATGAAATTACGTCGCCAGTTAAAGGTTCGGGGTTCCCTATATTTAGGACCTTTTAAAATTAGTGATCTAAGGTCCTCATTATTAACTATATTTACGTCACCAGTAATAACGTGTCCAGCAGGACTATAGTTATAGGGCGAAGAAGAACATGAACACGATGGAGGATAATGTTTCAGATATTCGATATCCAGGCCCTGTAAAGTTTTCTTGTAATTAAAAAAGTTTGGAAGCAATAGTCGATGTATATTTGTAGGAAATACAAGGTGTAGTCTTCAACTTGAAATATGGTGGAATACAAGACTGGGTCCTTTTGTGATTAAGAATATTACTTGTATTAACCGCGTCAATTCCTTTGTTGGCATATTGGAGTTAAAGGAAAAAACGGGTTGTTTTAGCTGCATTTTCCTCCTTAAAACGTGGCGGTTTAAAAAGCCTATGATTTGCAATATCCATAATCACAGAACCGAGTCTGTATTCTGGTGTCGAGGAATCAAAAAATGGACTTTCCTTGACCTTTTCAAGTAGACTATTCAAAAGTTTCAAAGGGACAGAATAAAGTGTGGTGCAAATGTGATGAAGACCTAACTGTTGATTTACATAAGGTAGTGACGAATCTGTTCAGAAATGAGTTTTGGAAATGTTTTTGTGTGAAAAATGGTCTCCTGGATGAAAAGTCTATAATCATATTTTGCACATTTATAGGACTCTACCAATCATATTCTAAAAAGATGATTTAGCTACTGTGTAAAATTTGAGAGAGCTTTTGTGGAAATGCTTTTTGTTGAAAAATGGTGTATGGGTGTGTGTGTTTTCCTATCAATTGGTCTCCACTAAGAAAAAAACCTACTAAAACCTTAATACTGAAATCACATTTTCGTGAGGGGTTAATTTTTGTTGTTTTCAGGGTATGAAGGAACACCATGAAATCTAGTTTTTCACATATACTACCACTCAATAATTCTTCATCTACGAAATCAAATCCACACAAACCCAATTTTTTTCTCAAACAACGAAAATTTGTACCCACGAAAGTATGTGATTTTACAGTATTGCATATCTACAGAACACTTCGAATCATTTTCTCAACTGCATAAAATGTAAGAAAATTCTGGTTACCCAGTTTCGTAGAAAAACCTTTTCCATTGGCCCCCAGAATGAAAATTAAAATTCCAAAATGTTATTTACCATTTATAGGACACCACCAGTCTTGTTCTTACAGATGAATTGGCTAATGCGTAAAATGCAAGATTGATGAGTTCTCCAGGCCCCGAATTCCGTAGGAAAACGTGTTGTTTCCCATCCCTTATTGTATATAATTTGTCTAAGTGAATCTTCGGACCTTTTTGTCTTCCCATTGTGATGCCGGGCGATAATTTGAAGAAAAAAACATGAGTTTTCGTTATGTAAATTTATAGCTTTCAAATGATTATTGTAATGATTGAATTGATAGATCAAGAGAAGATTAATCTGTAATCCACCCTATTTTTATATAGATCTTCTTTTGTGGAGATGTGGGGTTCTTCAACTGCAGAAATTTGGTTCCTGTGTACCCAAGGATACTTTGAGGCTAGTTTTGGTGGTGGATTTAATGGGTGCGATGCATCTTGCACATTCTGAATATTACCCCTCGAAATACTTCTTACTAAAATTTGTTGTAATCTGCATGTAGGAAAAATTTAAAGCATTTTAAACTTCAGAACCCTTTAAAACTTCTGAAATAAACCTTCTTTTTGTCAAAACATTTTACTTTTGTGCCCACTAAAGGAAAATCCTGTATCTGTATAATTGAATTTTGACCCTCTTTCAAATTCAATTGATATTCAAAAAAGACAATCTTGAGTGTACATAAGATTAATTTTAAAAGTTAAACGAGACTTACCTGGAAGGTGAAGTTTGACTGTAATTTCTTCGACCCAATTGGGTGCCGAGGGATCAAATGAGATGATAAGGTTACCGCGTGGTTCATACTTCAGAGCACAAAAATTTGGATTAAGATTAACAAAGCAGGATCATAACGGGTGGGATCTGCCTTCGGGTTGGCCATTTGATCCCTCGGCACCCAACTGGGTCGAAGAAATTACAGTCAAACTTCACCTTCCAGGTAAGTCTCGTTTAACTTTTAAATTTCTTCTCCCCAATTGGGGCCTCTGTATCAAATGAGACTTTAGAGATAAAATCCAGATTTTTGGAATTAAGTTCTAATAATGAAAACAGAAATGATCATTCTACAATTTTATCTAGAAATCCTGAAAATTTTAATTATACATGTATATACAATTACGTACTTATGATATACAGTCACTTGTAATTTTTTAAACAACGTTTCACAAATGTCAGCATTTAAAGTAACTTCTCTGTTATAAAACTTTCTAAATGTTGACTCTCTTGACCAACCCACTGTTCGCATAATTGTATCAACAGGGATTCTTAGTGCATGTGCAGCGCTCGCTGAAGCCACCCTGGTGCTGTGAGGTTTGAATATAGAAATATCAGCTCCTGCCATCTTTAGAACAGACTTCAGCCACCTGCCAATTGTGTCTCTGGACACTGAATTGTGCGGTCGTTGTGACGTAATAAACAAGCGTGTAACGGCACCTCGCAGAGTCTCTGTGTTTTGTAAATAATTAGTCAAAGTGTTCACCACACACAAATCTTTATCGACTTCGTAGCTAGTTAGCTCAATTTCACCCAAGTGTCTTTTTGTATTTGAAGTTTTCAAAAGATCACCTATAACAATTTTTACACCACTCTCTTGAAAATGAACATTTCTAATATCAATCAAATGAAGTGTTTGTCCCCTTTGCCCTGAAAGTAAGGCAAGTAACATAACCAGTTTCCGAGATAATTGTAACAGTGATAATGATGATAAAGGAGACAATGATTTCAAATATTTTAACACAATATTTACATCCCAGGTAACATTGTATCTTGGAAGAGCAGGTCTAAGTACAAATACCCCTCTCATAAACCTACGTATTAACGGATGAGAACCTATATTTACAAAATTTTCTAACTGTAGAAAAGATGATAATGCGCTCCTAGCCGTATTTAGACAACTGTATCCTAACCCTGACTGAAATAATTCTGTTAAAAATGACAAAACATTGTTCACATTTGCCTCAAATACATTAATTTGTCTGCTATTACAAAATGACAACCATTTTTCGATATATGCCCTATATTGTTTTTTAGTGGACTCTCGCCAGGAAGATAAGAGAATTTTTTGAGTGTCATCTGATAAGCCTCGATTTTTGAAGGATTCCCCGATACACGGAATGCGCCCAGTCTCATTTTTCTCAGTGGGTGGTACTTCTCGGGTTTGTTCGGCATCGTCAGAAGATTTTGAATGTCCGGCAACAGATAACTGTCCTTGCAGACCATTTGAAGCAGCCGTGGAAACCAATGCTGTGTCGGCCATATTGGAGCAATTACTATCGCCTCTGCTCTGTCGGTAGTAATTTTCTGCAGCACTGATCCCATCAAACTGAAAGGACAAAATATGTAACACATTAAGTCACTCCAGTCCATGCTGAAAGCGTCTATAGCTTTTGCATGTTGGTCTGGGCTGTAAGAAACGTATGGCATGAATTGAAAATTATGCTTGGAAGCGAACAAGTCAATATCACATTTCCCGAACGAGTTTTCTATTTGTGAGAATATTTTCCTATCTAACATCCATTCTAGGTCATCATTTTTGTGGCGCGATAAATAGTCAGCCTCTATATTTTCAACACCTGCAATATGACTTGCAGATAACCAAATATTTCTAGCCATACAAAATTCCCAAATTGAAATTGTCAAGTCGTTTAGTGATTCAATTTTTCCTCCCATTTTTGAAATGTACGTTACGGCCACCGTGTTCTCCATGTAAAGTTTTACATGTCCCTCTTGTAAATCATTACAAAATTTTGATAACGCAATTAATCCTACTTTCAATTCCAAGAAATTGATATTCTTTTCTTTATCTTCATCTAACCATTCTCCTTGATAACAATCTCCGTTGTTTTCATTAAATATGCCCCAGCCTGCCAACGAGCTGTCTGTTTTAATTACTAACACTGGTTTATCAATATTTATAAATCGAGGAAATCGTTCAACATTATTTATCCACCAAGTGATTGTTTTCCTAATTTCACCGGAAATCACAAATTTTGCATCCAAATTACCAGCATTTGTTTTTAATTCTTTGTCTTTAACAATCTCAAGAGATTTATAAAACAAAGGCGCATAGCGGACACCTGGCTCACTTGACACTAATTTGCCAATTAACTGTGCAAATTCTCTTATCGTAATTCGATGCAATTTCAGAATTTCCTCACACTTTTGTCTTATCGATGTAGCCCGATCTGGCGTTAATGATACTGTCATCAATTCAGAATTTATTATAAATCCCAAAAATTGAATAGCCCTACTTGGAGTGAATACCGACTTCTCTACGTTTATAGTTAATCCAAGGCTGTCTAAAAGCTCAGCTCTCTCCCTGACATTTTTACGGCATTCAGATTCTGTTTTGCTCACTAACAAAGAATCGTCAATATAAGCTATATTAGCATGCCCGCGTTTCCTCAATGTGGAAAACACCGGTTTTAACAGTTTCGTGAATATACGGGGAGCCGATGCTAACCCCATTGCTAAGCAAGTATACTGGTATTTTCTATCGTTCCATAAAAATCGTAAATATTTTCTGTCCTCTGTGCACACAGGACAAGAATAATACGCATCTTGTAAGTCAATGGAAGCGAAAAAACAGTTTTTTGACACCAGACCAACAGCTGCAGACAGTGTTTCCATCTTAAAATGGTGATATTCAACACAATCATTTAATTGTTTCAAACTAAGAATGACTCTAAATTTTCCGTTTTTCTTAGGTCTCATGAAAATGTTAGATATAAATTCCCCTTCTTCGTAATTTGTTACTGGTTCAATGATATTCTTCTCTAATAAATCATTTATCTCTCTGTCAATTATAGCCATTTCTGACTCATTAAACTGAATTGTTTTAGGTATAAAATTTTGGGATGGTAAGTTTTCAAATTCGATTGAATATCCCTTGACATAATCCAAAATCCTGGAATCGCTAGTGATTAATTTCCAATTTTGAAAATAAAGTGCAATTTTTCCAGCCGTAAAATTTTGACATGTATTGTGAAACGAACTCACGTTTTGAAGATTCCTCTGGCTTATTTCTTTTGCTTGTTCGTCGTCGTCGTTTTCTTTCTGTAGTGGGGACCCCAGCGTTGGCCTAAAAAATTCTGGGTTCTGTAGTGTTGGTTGTAACTTGAGGAAGACCTCTGTCCTTGCTGAAACTTGCGGTTCTGATATCCGCGTTTATCAAACTTTTGGTGTCCGGAGATCTTAGCTCCCACTTTATTTGCTTTGACTATATCTTCTACTCTCTTTCCCAGATCGTCGCCGAACAGTTTGTCTGTAACTGGATGTTCATTTGAGCATAATGTGCGAAATTCTTCGTTTCTCTCCGGTTGGATAATCAATTCCCGTCTTCTATTTGACAAGTCGCAATACGCAACAGCCATGAGTTTAAGCCCGTCCATAGCCAGGTTTGAGAGTTCCTTCCTTGATGGCATCTCGCCCTTTTGTTTGGATTTAACTAGCAAGTTAATTTGTTGTAACACAGGTACAATTGCCTTCCCGAGCAGGGTTTGAGTTCTCTGTAGTCGAATGTCCTGACTACGCATTTTCCGGCTTAACTGCGCCCGGATTTCTTCGTTTAATTTTGGTGTAACGATATTTGGGACGTTTTTTGGTCGGTTGTATTTTTCACTTAACTCTTTGATTTTGTCTGCGTCCAGAATTGAGCGAAGACCATCATTGGCTCCTTTTGCTAGTTTTTCATTTATCGCCTCACTACATTTATCTTCGCCACCGAAACATTCCACCAGTCCGTCTAGCATGTCGTCACAATCACTGTCTACATCTTTATTTACTTCTTCCAGTAACTCATCTAAATCATCTTTCCCGCCATCTTCGTCTTCTGACACATCACTGAGATCTAGACCTGAAGGTCCTGGTTTGTCATCCTCAGCCTTTCGTTTTTTACCCCTTTTTTGTTGAAGTTCGCAAACTGTCGATGTCAGAGATGCAATATTCTTCTGCATTTCTTTCATCATGGCGACTATGCTCGTATTGTCACTACTGTCGCCCCTCTCCCTTTCATCATTTCCAGGAGAAACGTTATCTGCATTGTCAGTACTCATACTGCAAACACTGTTTAGACAGTTTTAAAATACTGCGTCTATACGCAAAAACAGCGTCTATACGCTTATTTGATGGCAATGTTTTAGAGCCAATTTCACAAGTATCAGTTATATGCACGAATCTCACTTAATCACTTATAAACACATATATCCAAAAATTATTGCGAATTGAAAATTACGTCTGCTTCTGAACCACGCTAACTTATCTATGAACCACGCGGTAACCTTATCATCTCATTTGATACAGAGGCCCCAATTGGGGAGAAGAAAATATGAATCGGAGGGTTGCTATTCACACCGAGAAAGGGGGCCTCAAGTAACATATATGATCTTAAGAACATATTATACATACAGAAAATGGATGCCTGGATTGATATAAATTTTTGGACATGTTTTGGCTGTGAATGATGCAAAAATAAAATTTCTAAAATATTAAGAAATTGTAAACTTTCTATAATGTTCAAAATTCTACATTTCTCCAATCACCCTTATAAATCTATACAACTATTTAATCACTTTATAATACATTATTTGAAATTTTGAATAAAAAAGTGTCACAATTTTGTTTAATTTGATTATGTTGGTTATGGTGTACCATAGGTTCATTCTCATCGTATAGTCGTTACGGATAGCTGGTCACGGCTGTCAGACCGGTTATAACAGGTCGAGGAATCTACCATATATGGATATTGTTGTCATTGCGCACAGAGGTGCTTACAGTGAGCAATCGTCCAATCCAATGAATGAGCCGAAAAACATGATGGTCTACTACATGTTTATATTTTGCTACAAACACGTGGGTCAGGCAAATTTAGGACGCGATTTCAAATGACTGCGGGAAAGTCAACTAATAATTATTTTTAATGTTTTTGTGAAAAACACGAAGAATAGGCACTAATTAAGATTTTCCATGCTCACATTAACAAACAAAGTCAATTTTCCGTGTTAAATGGTACGTTGAAACACAGGTGCTTGAGGACAGGAACCCCCCACCCCACCCCACCCCCACCCCCGATATAGACCCCCGGGCCTTTTCGACTTTTTTCTCATAAATTATCTTTCAATGACATATCTGTGATATAATCTATACCAACAATTCGAAAAATTACCTTAAACAAACATTATATAAAATCTACCCCACTCTCTGCATATAAAATTTTTATACATAGGGTAGGGTAGTAATTTTTCTAAAATGTTTGTTTAAGTCAATTTTCCGAATTGATGATATAGAGATTATATCATAAATGTGTCAGCCATTTATAACTTATGAGAAAAAAGTCGAACAGGCCCGGGGATCTATATTGGGGGGGGGGGGGGGGTGTTCTGTCCTCAAGCACTTGTGCGTTGAAATACCGGTCACAAAATCTTCATAAGTAAATAAAAACCCAGTTTTTATAACTTGATATTCGTAAATTTGCCATGCTACTAGTGTTATTCATTGTTACTTTGTTATTTGTTTACTAGAAATTAAAAGTTATGCAGTTATAAAAAACGTAAGTCTATAATGCTGTACGGTATTTTAATTCTCATGTACCTTGATCATAGAACGTATATTGAGTAGCATATATATCGAAGTTGTATACGTAGTAAACAATGACAATACGTGAGTACACCTCAAAGTCGATTTGTTTTGGACCAGGAAATAGTCACGTGAAATTCATACTGACTGATAGTACAGCACGGGAAAAACTGCCAGGCTATTGTCAACAAACGGACTTATACAATGGAGTGGAGAAAACCCAAACTTTACCGTTGTAAAACATTTTTATGTAAATGTGAGCATGGAACTAGTAGATAATGATGTACATATTTTATTAAGTGTGTAAAATGCTTGAAAAAATGCATCTTGTCTTTCCGAGAGCGATTTCAAAAACTGTACTTTTCGAAACCGTACATGTAGTATTTTTTGTAGTAACCCATAATGCAACTCATTTAGCTGATTGGTCAGTTTGCCAGTCACATTGTGTGCCTCATTTAGCATGTAAATTTATTCTGACGTCACAGAAAATGTATAACAATTTGTCTACTTGTAAGTTAGTTCTGAGCAGGCTGAAGAAGTGAGAAGGTGTGTCCTTCCTGAGTAAAAATGTTGTATGACCTGTGCGGTCGCGAGAAAAATGGCTGCGTGCATTTAGCCTGAAGTGCTGAATGTTTTGTGTGTGTTCGAGAAGTTTTCCTGTGTGGACAGTAGAGTAATTTTGAGAACTTTGGCAGCGGTGAGTTTGAACTGTATATTTTGTTAGCTAGATGTTTTTTTTTTAATTTTTTTTATTTAAAGAAAAAATTATTATTTCATTACTTTGTTAAGTCTTATTTGTACAAGATAATGTACCCGACATATTCAAGTATTCCGTTTGAATGTGTTTATTCCGACTATGGAAACCTAGACCTTCAAATAATGTGTTATTATAGGTGACCAGCTGTGTATGTGCGTGTTTGAAGTAGCAGGTGAACATTATGGCATACTGAGACATTCGAGAAAATTCTACGTACTAAGGTGTTGACGGCTAGAGGGACGTGCGACCTTTGGACAGTGTCGTAACCGTAATTCCATGAGTAACCAACGACCGTGTGTCCATGAACAGTATACCGTAACGTCTTGGGTCAACCTCCGTGGTCTCGCCAGTCAGTGTTTCCGATTTTGATTTTATTTGCACATGGCAATGAAACATTTGTCGGATGTGATATGACGATATTATAGTCGGTGTATTGATACTATCATTATTAAGGTCTTCCGTCTTCACGGAAGACCTTATAGTGATTCTACTGTTTCTTATTATTAAGGTCTTCCGTCTTCACGGAAGACCTTATAGTGATTCTACTGTTTCTTATTATTAAGGTCTTCCGTCTTCACGGAAGACCTTATAGTGATTCTACTGTTTCTTATTATTAAGGTCTTCCGTCTTCACGGAAGACCTTATAGTGATTCTACTGTTTCTTATTATTATTATTATTTTTTTCCCCAAAATTTTGTGCAGCCGATTTCTCAAAAACTATTCAGTGGTTTTAAATGAAACTTTCAGGAATTATGCGTCGTCAAATGGACTTTGTTCATCAGAAGGAAAATTTGGAAAACTCGCTTCTGGTGCCAAGTTATTGACAGTTTTCTGATTTTAAAATGAAATTTTGTCCCCCCTTTTCTTCAAAAATGGTTTAAGATATGAACTGGAGACTTGTTAGAGATGATAGGTTATGTCTTCTAGATGAGGGGAATTACCTTTTTGTGCGTCGTCAGTACTTCCGGTCGTTACCGGATGCGAATTTAAAAAAGTCGAATTTTTAAACTTTTTTGTTTTTCTATATTTTTCTTATGTTTTAATAAGGTTAATAGAGGCTTTTCTGAAAATGCTTAATATATAATTTATTTTAGAATTGATCAATCCAAACTCTAGATATTCGCATTTCTAAATTTGAAGCGGGTCCAAAATGGTGGCTGTCTCCGTAAACTCCGATAAGTAGGTCAGAATTTACGGAGTCAGCCGAGCGTTTGTTTGAATGAAAGTACCATAAGCATCAAAGAAATGTGAAGGAATTGTTGGATTGTCACATCACAATTACGTTGCAATTCTGTTTCGAACTAGAGTTTTAATCCGGGGTTTCCTCAAACGTCTACTATAATTGTTCTTGTCTGTATCTCAAAGTAGAAAAACGACATGATTACAAGTGGAAATACGATAACTACAAACTTTTGTTTTACACCACGGAAAACTGATCCTAAACCATGGTTATAAGTAAAAGCTTTTCAAGAAACTTTCCTGATTAAAGGAATTAATATATAGTAATTATTACGTGGCCATTGTTTTTCCCCATGCAGGCTTGTGTCATATTAAATGAACAGAAAAGACAAAATAAGAAAACCATTTTTTTAAAGATTGTTTAATGAAGTTGATATAAATATTTTTTTTCTAAAAGATGTTGTTATTGAACATAAATGGTATCAGATTCCTTGACCGTCGCAGGACGAGACATGTTTTTGGGCGAAACATTCCAGTCTTTTCATGAATGTGTAACTAATCGGGATAGTCCACTTTGGGGGTAAACAGGAAAATAAAACTTGTAGAAAATCTTACCTAAATCACTGCTTTAGTGTTACTTAACCATACGATATATAATAAGTACAATATGATAAATATACTTTCTCAAGCTCGATATTTAGGTTATAAGAACATTTTGAAATTTCATTGAAGCTATCACCATTCAATAGAAAATACATTCCAAAGGAAATGCGCGAATATTTACCCGTGACGTTTCGCGCGAAATGATGTATCGTGACCAACCTTTCGTAGTAGACAAATGGTCTGATGCAGAAGTATATAGAAGTGCAGAAAAAGATTACATGGACATGCCTGTATATGGAATTACATGAAATAAAAAGTTGAATACATAAAGAATAAAAGAAAGTAAACAGTATCATCAGAGAATGGCTAAAGATATGAATATGAAACTTGCTGAGGTGATAGAGCATCAAATGTAGATATGGTGATCGACCATTATTTTTCGTCGTTCTTACTTCCGGTCGCAAACAGAAGTGAATTCAAATGTTAAATTTGCAACTTTTTGTTTTTCAATATTTTTCTCTGGGATTTACAGGGTTAATAGAGAGTCTTCTAGGAGTTTTATGTATGTTTTCATCTTTTTGATTGAAAAAGTTTGCAGAGATTTTTATGAAATTCACTTCCGGTCGAGTGTTTACCTGTCCTCAAAATTAGAATTTGTTCTCTCAATATTGCTCGGCAATAGTAAACGACTGAAGTCTAAAACTTTCAGGACTGATAGTCAGTCATCAGTTTATTTGAATCGTGAGAAATTCTTGTATCGCCGTTACTTCCGGTGGTGACAGGAAGTGATGCAAAAAAGTGAATGGTTAATGGTTAGCTTTCTTGGATTTTCACGCTGAATTTCTTTTATCACTTTTTCAGCGTGATTTTTTGTTTTTATTTTCAGAATCGGACGGAAGACCTCTCATTGCTCGCAATGAGTTTCTAGTTATTCTTTTTTTTTTAGACAAAATTTTGTGCACGCGATTTCTCGAAAACTATTCAATGAATTTCTTTGAAATTTTCAGGGATAAAAGGTCTTTATATGAAGTTTATATAAAATTCCGTTTTTTGGTAAATTCGGTTCCAGTGCCAAGTTATGGACAATTTCCTGATTTTAAAATGAAATTTTGTCCTCGAAGGATCTAAGAAACGGCTAAAGATATGAACTGGAGACT